ACAGTCAGGGAAAGCAGAATCATGGAATTCCTAAAACCAGAAAGCAGAAAGGGCTGGCCGAATGCAGGGCAGCTGAAACGGGGTACAGCTGTGATGGCCCCGTGCATTGTGAGGACAGTTACTAGGAAGCAAGTAACTGTGAGTGAGCCGGCCTGAACCCCTTCTTCCTTGTCCTGCACAGAACTGTTCACCCAGAGTTTGAGGCTGTGATGGAAAGCAAAGACAACGTTGCTGGCAACAGTGGAGATGGAGAAATGTGAAGAGATTTGAGATAAATTTTGGAGACTCTCATTGGATTTGTGCTGGGCTGGATCTGTGTGTGTGTGTGTGCACACGCGTGTGTGTGTACCATATTAGTTTTCTCTCACTGTGTAGCAACATCACAGACAGCTGTTACCCTGGTTTCTCTAGGTCAAGATTCTAGGCACAGCTCTGCAGTGTTTTTGGTAAAAGGGCTCTCACAGGAAAGCAGAAATGAGGGTGTCTGCCGGGATGCAGTTGTATCAAGGCTCAGCTGGGGAAGGTCCCATGTGCAAGTTCCCATAGGTGTTGGCGGATCTGACTCCTTGTACCTGTGGGCCAGGGCTCCAGTTTCTTTTGTGGGCTCCTGGCTGGGTGTGACTGGTTTCCTGCCAGGGATCCCTGCAAGGTGGAACTTGCTTTCGCAGATCCTGCATGGCCAGTGTCTTCAGCAAGACAGATGTTGCAGACGTGTGGAGCAGCGCCCCAGAAGTGACGTCTGTCACTGCCACCAGAGTCTAGTCCTTACGAGCAAGTCACATTCAGGAGAAGGAGCTCTCACAGGTATGATAACAGGAGGCAGGGGCAGTGGGTCTCTGGGGATCTGTCTGCTGCAGAAACTGAGGTGCAGAAAGTCGATTGGTTTTCTGAGCAATTAGTTTGGCAAAGCATTCATGAACAAGGGCTTACAGCTACTCAATTTGAGGCTGGAGTCAGCCCTGTGAAAGGAGACTGGATTGTTCATTTTTTTAAAAAAGATTTATCTGTGTATGCATGCAGAACTGGGGTACAGGCCAGAGGTGCAGGGGCGGTGAGAGGATCCACCAGAGAGAGAGGGGAGCAGAACAGGCAGATGGATGAAGTACACTGCTGAGGGGAGCAGCAGACAGGTCAGGAGAGGTCTGCCAGGCCATGTGGGTCACCTCTGGGGTGGGGATCGAACTTGAGTTGCAGTGGCTGCCAAAGTGTGCAGTGCTGTGCTTTAACCCATTGCACTACCAGGGAGGACCCTGGATTGTTCACTTTGTTATGTCCATCTCATGCATGAATAAAATGAAGAGAGTTGGATTAATGTTTCCTACGGCTCTTCTGTGTAGGGTTGTTTAGTGTGTGTGAACGTCTATAATTAATGTATATATTTTGTACATGTTATAGATCTGATGTAAGCAGGGTGGGGGAGAAAATCATGAGAAAAGATAGCTCAAAGTTAGAAGGATCAAACAACTGTTCCTCACCTGATCTCCTAGATAGATCAAAATGTAGATACAGGTAGTTAGAGATCAGAAGCCACAGCTTGATAACCATCTGTGGGAGACTATCTACTTAGTTATTTGAAAAATTCAGTTGTGCAACTCTTAATCACTGATGGTACAGACTTTCACCTCCTGTTTACTGAATTTCCTCCTCAGTCACCCTGTTTGCCAGACTCAGGGCCTCTATCCTCATTTCCCTGGACTCTCACGGCGTCAGGTTCTGCTGGAGCTTCTGCTCTTGAACTTGCCCACCTGTTGTGATGGTTGTGAATGTCACTGACCACACGGCCTGCCACCCTCTCACCCTTGTTTACTGGAAACACCAACATCTCTTATTCTTCATTCTCTGAAAAGTGTGTGGACCCCACATTCTGTTGTTAGTCTTTTATCTGGTGGATCTTATCTGCCAACATGGCTTGATGCATGGATTTATCTTAAGGCAAATGAAGCCTAAATGATTACATTTAGCTTTTTAAATCAAAGCTGTTCTTTTTTAAAAGATATTTATTTATGCATACAGAACTGGGGTACAAGCCAGAGGTGCAGGGACAGTGAGGGGATTCACTAGAGACAGAACAGGAAGCAGAACAGGCAGATGGATGAAGTACACTGCTGAGGGGAACAGCAGCAGATGGGTTAGGAGAGGTCTGTTGTGCCATCTGGTCACCTCCGGGGTGGGGATCGAACTCGTGCTGCAGAGGCTTTAGCATCTTAGTGCTGTGCTTTAACCCACTGCGCCACCAGGGAGGGCCTCAGAGCTGTTCTTTTATATTTCCAAATGTTTACTTATAATCTTTTTGACAAAATTGACCTCTCAAATGAAAATCCCTCTCCTAGGGTCCTTATGTCCTTGAACAGAGGCATCTTTTACCAGCAGTGAGTCCTTGATTCCTCCTCTTTCCTCAGTGACCGATGACCTAATGCATTGCTAAGTAAGTCCCGGACGTTTTCCCTCCATGATGTCACTCAAATATGTTGTTTTCCCACATTTTATTGCCACCACCTTAACTCAGATTCTTTTTTATTTTTGAATTGACAATTCTAGTAGAATACTAATAGACCCCTCCCTGCATTGTTCTCTCTTACAATCCATCATGACGGTGAGTCAGTTTTAGGCACCTCGTTTCCTTAATTAAATCCCTTCATAACTGCTCTTTATCTCTGCCCCAAACCTACCCTGTATGGCTTCATCCTTTCTGGAACTTCAGCACTCACTTGCCAGGAAGTTCCCCTTAACTTTCCTACAGATGGGCTGGTCCTGCATGGACCAGCTTGCCAGTCCCCAGACACATGTTCTGCTATATGTTTGCCTGTGAGTGTCCTTCTTCCCAGACTGCCTTTTGCTTTCCCTGTCTGTTAAAATTATTGTCATCTGTGATGGTGCATCCCAACAATCGATTATTCATTCATTCTCTGAAGAGTTCCCACTGTATAGTAGTCAGGAACAAACTGAGTTCCCACTGTATAATAGTCAGGAACAACAAGACAGACCAGGTGCCTATGATGAGGGCATCTGAGTGAGGGAAACAGACAGTGAGGAAGGAGACCGCCTGGCTGGGTCATGAGCAGCAGAAAGTGAGAAAGAAGTTAGGCAGGAACCAGACCATGTGGGGCATCTCAAGGACTGTCTCCTACACACATAGGGATGAGAGAGATCTGCACAGCTAAAGACAATTTCATACAGTGAAGCAATTCCTTGAAATCACATGGAAGACTGGGCTGGAATTATCTGGATGATGTACTTATGAAAATCTGCGAGATACCTATTAAAAACAGAAGTTTCCAGAATTTCATGGCTTTAGTGAGAGAGGAAATTCTCAGGAATCTGAATTTCAAACGTGTTTTCAGTGGCTTCTGCTGCTGTTCACTTCCCAGAACGTGAGGGTCCAGGCTCTAGGTCAGCTCTCAAGACCACTGCCACCTGGTGACCTTAAATTCACATTACAGGCTTGAAGGTCTACATCACAATCAGCCAAATTTTTTAGTCACTTAATTCTTAGTCACCTTTGCCCTCTCTTACTCACGTATTTTTGAATCTTTGGGGTTAAATGACATAGACTTTATATAATTTGCAGTACCGAGGACACAGCCACCTCAATTTAGTTGACTTTTTTTGTTAAAAACATTCATCTTGTTAACATTGAATTTGGGGCTTTCTCTTTTGATTCTCCACAGCTGTAAACTCTCACAAAATGTAATCAGTTTATTGAATCAAAGAATCCTTATCCATTTACGTAAAACGACCTGTAGGAAATTCTGTCAGAGAACCCGAGAGAGGCGGAATCTTAATTCAGAGATATCTGGCTGGAATGATTAATAGTTCTGCCTGTTGGGTTCCATGTTCGCTCTTTTGGGGAAAACGCACACAAGAGCTGGTATCCATGTCTTCTTTCTTTGCTTTCAGAAAACTCAGATTTTTATTCACATCTAAAACAGCTTATTTCCTAAACATTTGAATTGGAATAGATTGAGGTTGATGAGCTCAAATCCCTTACGGTTGGCTTTCAAACACAAAATAGCCAGGCAGGCCCCAATGTGAGCAGAAGGCAGGGCTGCTCCCTTCCATGTAACTGGTGTTTCGTAATAGGTCATGGCACTTGGGCTGGTTTTACTAGGAGTCAATAAGAACCAAGCATGGCAGAACATGACTTTGCAAGCAGGCATCATTCCACACGGCTCCAGTGTGGAACTCCACAACAAGGTAACTTGGCACTGTTCATGATGGAAAAATAAAAACGGATTAACAAGGAAGATGCTCGTAAATGAAATACACGAGAATGATGACTGGGTTATCCACAGCCATCCTATTATTTGGTGTCCTTGCAGTTTTTGTAGAAAGACGAGTTTAGATGGATTTGTACAACAATGCTTTAAAAATGAAAACCAACTTTTCATGGAGGTGGAGATGCATATCCTAAAAGGAACCTTTAGAAAGCAAGCCATTCAGTGGTGGTGAATTCATTTACAATGTTTTGCAGCTACTGCTGTCAGTTCCAAATTATTTCTTTCATCTCAAGAGAAACCCCATCTCCATTAAACAGTTGATACACCAATGTTTTGGAGAGATGGTTGGAATTTGGAGAAGCTATAGGAGTGTTTACATTGTTGCCAAAGCTTTTTGAAGCGTGGAAAGGTCATTTAGGGCAAATTTATAATCAGAGAATTTAGAGACTCACATGATGCAATTAGAGCAGAAGTTAAATGCTGGAACAATGTTGAAAAGGATTCAAATATGTGGCAAGGACGTGCCCATGCTTTGAAGGCACTGGGCATTCCTATGCAAACAGAAAAGCCAACAAAAAACGTGGGCAATGAGTCTGTGGGTTCCTTTGTGTACATTTTATTAGCTAGTGATAGAATTATTTATGCAAATGACCTTGGGGATGTCTAGACCAGGATGTCATGCCCACCCGCGCGAGGTATAAAAAGCCCTGGTGGCCACAGACCTTCATTCGCACTCGGGTAACTTACTCCTCACCCTCTACCACCAACTCTGCTCCTGCAACCATGACCCGCTTCTTCTGCTGTGGAAACTACTTCCCCGGCTACCCTTGCTATGGAACCAACTTCCACGGGACCTTCAGAGCCACCCCCCTGAACTGTGTGGTGCCTCTGGGCTCCCCCCTGAACTATGGCTGCGGATGCAACGGCTACAGGTCGCTGGGTTACAGCTTCGGGGGCAGCAACTTTGGCAGCCTGGGCTGCGGCTATGGCGGTAGCTTTTACAGGCCGTGGGGCTCCGGCTCCGGCTTTGGCTACAGCACCTACTAATGGATCCCAAGCCCCAGGTGACTCCAGGAAGCCCCTTCACTTATTCACAGAATAGCCTGAAGAGCAACGACTGTCTTTCTGCCTCTAGCTGTGCCGGCGAGAGTCATCTCTCTTGCTACTGCCAGCTGAGAGTCTGGTCTTCGGGGACGCTGAACAAGTCACCCGGGCACCGGATGCTGAACTGAGCCTCAGCCGCAGCCCAAGACAGCAAGGTGGATTTCTCCAAAGAGCTTCCATTGGAGCAGCGAGGCTAATCCGCTCCCTTATAGTTCTGCTCTTGCAGCGTGAAATTCTCCGGCGATATCCACCTGTTCCAAGTTGGGTTGGGTTGGGAGGGGTTTCACTGTCTCTAAATAAATCTGTTTTCTGCAGCACATTTTTGTTCAGATTATTTATTTGACTGGGTAGTTCTGCTTTTGAATGCATCCGCTGGTTTCAACCTGCAATGGCTGATTTTAGCCAGGATTTTTTTTCTGATTTGAGACTTCACATTAGGAGGGGAGGATGCCTCAGCAGTAGGGCCCATTATGTTGAGATTTCAATTTTTAGAAATTTCGGAAAAATATCTAAATTCTGTGCAAATCTACCATAACCATTAATGGTATATGCTGATTCTCTGTGCTGATTGTAAATAGGAACATTTCTTAGCTGTTGAGTGCAAAACATTTCTTTCCTCCTTTTATTTGTGACACATTCCACTTAGTTTCATTTCCTTTTCCTACTGAACTCAGCTCTAGAGATATTTGAACCTCACAAGCTATTGGAAGAATTTCCACTGCATGGAATTAGCTAAGAACCTCTGTTTTTAGGAATTCCTAAGAGTTGGATCCATAAAGAGAAGCCAACAGCTAAAATTACATAGTATTTTCCCCCTTTCTGATAGATAGATGGGTTTGTTTTTCCTACCTTTTCCACCTCTGATAGTACATGTAACTGTATTAAAAATAAAACATTTATTCCTGGAAATGATACTTGATATCAAAAGCACTTAAAATAATAAGTGGTTTGCACTTAGAAAATGCTTTTTGTCTCACTCACTGAGAAATCTTTGATCGAAACAAAAATACTCTATCTTTGAATTAAGGCTCTTCATTCACGTATCAAGTGTTTATTACATCCTTGCCCACTCTGAGATATCTGATAACTGGTCATTGAGTTGACATGTCAAACCTCTGCTTTATGTGAGCAAAGCACTGTAGAATCCAACGTGAAGTCCACTCCTGTGTGCCTGAAGTGTGGCTGGGCTCTGCTCACTGTGTCAAGGATTTGGGGAATAGTGAAGTCACCTTCTTCACAATCCTTGCCCAGAAGAGTTAAATCTCCCATTTTATGCAAATTGGTGTGCCATAAATGATTGCCCAAAGATAAATATTTATTCTATTCCTTCCAAGGACTCCTAATAGGCAATAGAACACACATCATGTATGTGTCTATCTCTCCACCTACCCATCCATCCATCCATCCATCTCTTCATTTACCTAAGAACAGAACAATGGAATGATTAAAACTTAGATGTTAGACACTAATACTACGTACAGTGCCTCCTTAGTTATTGTCAATTGTCCTCATAGCATCACTTGTGGTTATTTCTTCCTCTGGTCCATTATCTACAGTATAAACGGTCCTGTGGATTTCATAGGCAGGAAGCTAGGTACATGCATGCATGTCTGGGAAACGGGAATCACCACAGCAGGGGCACAGCTCAGCATGAGGTCAACTGGCCTGTTCACTGGGTGCTCCCAGGACATCAAGCACAGAAGGGGTGATTTAGGATTGCTAACAGCTAACAGTGAGAGTGTAGTTTCTATGATCAGGGCTCACACGTACTTTCTGTGCTACAGTGTTTTTGACTTTGACTAATTTTTAAATTTTGGCGTGATTTCCAACTTATAGCAAGGTTTCCACAGCAGCACAAAGAAGTCATGTATCCAAATTAATGTTTTTGTTTTGTCCTGTTTACTTTATCATTGTATATAATATATATGCATGACTCTATATATAACACAGAGTTTCAAATTCATTTCAGGATAAATTGCAGGTATCATGCTTACTTGTCCTAAGAGCAAGGAGGGCGTAATTATGAAAATTAGGAAATTTAACACCAATCAACAACTATTATCTAATCTACAACACATGCTTTGAATTATTCAATTTTTCTGATAACGTCCCTTGAAGTTTCTTTCCCCCCTCCGTCATCTCCTCCATGATCACATATATCTCTTGTCTCCTTTGATCTGGACCAGCTCCTTAGCCTTTCTCTGCCTTTATTGACTTTTTCTAACTTGAAGGATGCAGGTCATTTTTTTAGAGACTGTTTTATGATTTGGGCCTTCCCAACTTTCTGCATGATTTGCTTCCTAGCATGCATCTTGGGGTCAAAGGGCATAGAATGCTTTTCTCTGTGCATTGAATCTTGGGGCACAGTCTGTTGACTTACCCATGACGTGCACTTTAATACCTCGATGAAAGTTCTGTCCTTCAAGTCTCTTCCCTGCAACGCTGCTATTTTGCTTTTGTAAGTAACAACTCATTTCTGTGTTAATACTTTGACAACATAAACAACCTCTTATCACGCTTTCACATACTCATTTTAGGATTTAGTCACAATTTTCCAACTTCATGAATCCTTCTACCTAGAGGACTTGACAGCTGACTGTAAATATAACCTTCCATTTATTTTTTGTTTGCTTACATATTTGCAGCAATATTTCTATCCACATGGGCTCATGGATTGCTTTTTAAATTCAATCTATTGTAATCCATTACTGTTATTATTAATCTTGATGTTCGTGTCTCAGTTTGCACATGGGCTCACTGGCTTGTCTCTCTGATGACCTTCAGAAATGGCCGCATTGTTAGTTGAGCATTTCCTTTCTTTCTGGCTCAACAAGATGTTCCAGGCTCATCTTGTCCATTTCTACTCTAAGAACGGGGTCAGTGACTCCTCCCAGGACCCTAGATCCTTATGTGAAGACTAGTATTTTGAAACTAAAGAATGGCTGCCAGTGCGCTCACTGAGCTCCCACTGTTCTCTGTGCTCATGTCTGTTCTGTCATCTTCTGTCACAAGCGCTGTTATGCTTCAGCTTTGATCTCCTCTGAAGCTGTGCAGAGCCTCTCTTATGGGACTGGCTGAGTGCAGGAGTAGTGTGTGTGTGCCTTCAAATCAGTGTTTTCATATTCTTAGGCTAAATACCCTTAAGTGGGATTATCAGGTCATGTGGTAGCTGCATTCATATTTTGAGATGTCTTCATACTGTTTTCCACAGTGGCTGCACCAATTTACAGTCCCATCAAAGTACATGAGGCTGTGCACACACCCACCTCTACATCCTCACCAATGCTTGTAGTTTCTTACCCTGAAAATGATCACTATTCTAACTGGCCTGAGGTCCTCTGTTGATTTAATTTTTTTTCAATTGAGGTAGTGTTGATTTACAATTTTGATTATGTAGTAGAGGCATCAAAGCTCCCCCTTTAGATTTTGTTACCACACTACATCCACCACTAAAATCCTCCACTCGTGGCCCTCCACCAAATCCCACTGGACTCCCTGGCCACTCTGATCTTCCCTCTCCCTCTTTCCCTTCCCTTCTAGTCGCTTCAATTTTATAGGCAGACTTTTAGGGGTTGTTATTGGTTTGGTTATAACTGATCCTTTGTTTTGTTTCTCTGTGCTCCACATGTAAGTGACACCATCTAGTATTTGTCTTTCTCCTTGTGACTTATTTCACTTAGCATCACCCCTTCCGGTTTTATTGAAGTTGTCTAGAGTTTTTCTTTTTAATAGCTGAGTAGTATTCCTCTCTCTCTCTCTCTCTCTCTCTCCATATGTATATATATGTATATATATATACATATATATACACACACACACACACACACACACTACATCTTCCTGACCCCAATTTTTAAAGTGTTGATGAAATAGTACTAATATTTTCAGCGAAAGGAAAGTTTTTTTAAAAATAATTTCTTAGAATTTTATCTATTTTTACTATTTATAGAAAAACTATGTTAAGCTTTTCCTAAACTAATTTAGGAAAACCCCCAAAATTTGTAGCAGGAGAACTTTCCAGCAGATAGATAAAATTATTTCTTGTTTCTAATGCTTGTCAAGCAGAGACCTCTCAGACTTTTCTATTAAATGCCTGAATGTGCCCAGCATATCTGTAAAGACCCTCCTTTGCTGCTCAGTCACCAGTTCTTCCCCAGTGACTTGCATCTAAGGCTCCTGATGTTCTCTTTGACAATAATGTTTGCACTACATTGCTCTGTAGTAATGCACGTTTTCTTCCCTTCCTAATCATCCTCTGCTTTGCAAGTACAAATCATTTCCTCCAACTTGTACCTTCTTTATCCAATACACTCAGTTGCAACTTGGGAATTTTCAAGACTTTCCTGATGAACAAAGCTAAATTTTCAGTTAAGGAAATCTTTGGGTGTCTGGTCCTAATTTTTTTTTTTTAAAGATTTATTTATTTATTCATATGGAACTGGAGTACAGGCCAGAGATGTGGAGGGTGAGAGGATTCACCAGAGACAGAGAGAGGAGCAGAACAGGCAGATCGACGAAGTACACTGCTGAGGGGAGCAGCGGGCGGGTCAGGAGAGGTCTGCCGCGCCATGTGGTCACCTCTGGGACAGGCGGGAATCGAACTCATGTGGAAGTGGCTTTAGCTTCTCAGTGCTGTGCTTTAACCCGCTGTGCCACCAGGGAGGGCCTGTCTGGTCCTAATTTTATAGATGAAATAGATTTATTTTCCTATTTCCTTTTTTTTCCACCCAGCAGACTTCAAAGAATGATGATGAATGAGACAATGACCTTGCTTTCCATCATTTCCTGTTCAACAACAATAGGTAGCATTGTTTTCAAGGTCACTAAAAGGAAGGACATGATCTTAGGGCTTCTAAAAGTTAACCAATCAGTATATAAGTTCCAGTGTCAGATTTCTAGCCACAGGAATGTTTTAACAATGAGGTAGCACAAGAGACCTTCTT